GCTCATCTTCAATGGAGAGCCACTGAAGAGTTTGAGAGGCGAACGGGCTGCACGCCCAACCGTTTCATCCTTGGACGGAGGTGCAGGAAGCCTGATGTTCTTCACCGGACTCACGTTTTCACGCCCCCTCAAACGCTTAGGTGTGCTATCAACATCTTCATCATCCATATCCAGCTCGGCTGGCCGTTTGCCGAGGACGCCACGAGCGGCGCCAACATGCAAGCTCTTTCTCCCACGCAGCTTATTCTTCTTCGGGGTGAGACTTGAGATCATGTCTTTCAAATTAGCTGTGGGGTCCCGATCATTGAGCGGTGGGGGCGGAATATGCCCATCTTCTCGGTTCTCTTCCTCTTCGCGCTCCCTCTCAACCTCCTCCTGAAGCTTCACGGGATCTTCAAAGCGCACTCCCTGCTTAGACGGTTCCTGGGGGATGAACTGCGGTGCCTCTTCACCGATCGATCGACGCTTGTCAAGCATAGCGGCCACCTTGGGCGACCCAAGGCCTTCTTTATCGATCCCGAGACCTGAGGATCGTCTTTTTCCATGAGGTTGCAGGACAAACAGAGGAGCTGATTCTCCAGATGCAGACTTCTCGAAAAGACTTTTACGCCTTGGAGATTTCCTCCCGCTTGCAGGTCCCGTAGGGTTCGCCTGCGGTGGCTTCTCGGGCGATGTACTCTGATCATCAGTGGATTTAGACGGAGTTTCAGCAGGTGAGAGTCCGCTGGCCTGCAGCGCCGGTTCTTTCGGGGATGGCTGTGATGTCTGAGAGGTTGGGGTGCTCAAAGCAGCATGGCTTAGGCTTTGTCGGGTCCGCCTGGATCTCACACTCGCCAGGCTAGGACTTCCGTTCTCTGAAGCAACGGCAGCGACATGGAACGAGGCGGGTGATTTAGCTGGGGACTGACGAGCGGAACCCTGGAAGGGTGAGCTACCGAGGCGAGCAGCAGTCGGTTCGGAATTTGGCTCTACTTCCATTGGTTCTTCAACGGTCTCCTGTGGCCCTGCTTGAGGTGAGATTATCTTACCCACGGCAGTCGTGAAATCCATGCCCTGGGTTTGATCCTCATCTTGTGGTTCGGTTTGCTCCTGAGCTGCGGGAAGTATGCCACCAATGGCCCCGGTCATTTCCATGTCCATTCCTTCATCCATGTTGTCATCTTCGTTCTCCCAGGCAGAGAAATCCGGTGCCTTGGAACTTGGCGTGAAGGATTCAGCTGGGCCATCGTCGTTCTCATTGGCGACATTAGCTGTAAATGGTTTGTTCAGAACGCCACCAACGACCGATGTGAATTCCATGGTCATCTCCTCATCTTCGTCTGCGTTGCTGTAGGCTCCTGTTGACTTGGCTGGCGAGATAGGTTGCGCGATGCCTCCAACGACATTGGTCAATTCCATGGTTTGTTCATCGTACACGGTCTCTGCGCCAAGTGACATGCGACTTCTCATGCTCTGACGACGGCTCTGCTGGCCTGGAAGAATACGTCCAATGGCATTCGTCACTTCCATACTGAGGTCCTCATCCCCATTGTCGCTTGCCGCATCTACCTCAGCCGGTTGGTCGGCCACGAACCCTGAGGGCTGCACATTCTCCTGGTCATGCCGAGCGCTAATGTCTTCCCAATCAAAACTTTGGCGTTCACCTTTCTTGATCCAGGGCTGGAAGGCGCCTGTGATCTCCTGATCGGCAATCTCCATCGACATGTCACCGTCATCATCGTCCTCAATGCCACGAGTGCCTGCTTCTCGGGCCGCTTGCCGTAGAGCCTCATTTAGCCGAGCACTGGAGCTGGTGCTAGCCTCAGACCCATCTGACCGAGTCGTGACTGCAGAACGAGCGGTCATATCGTCCATACTCATCGCGGTACTTTCCCCGTCAGAGCCGGAAACTGACGAATTGTCATCATCGTCGATGTCTTCCTGCGAACCTTGTAATCCGGTATATTCACTACCGTCCGCCGAGCTCCCGCTGAATGGGCTTGAGGACATCTCCTGCGACCTTGATCGGTTCTGGAGCTGCTGTAGATCTGGGTACTGAACGGGGGAAAAGCCGATATCTGATTCTGCGTCCAGGTCGGGAGAAGGAGGATCTTCCGGGGGATTCTTTTGCGCGGGGGTCTGATTTGCCAGGGACGATGCACGCCTGGTTGAGTTGGAGGTAGACGAAGAGGTCGAGTCATCAGGTATCTCCACAACATTCCACGTGTGCAATGTTGCTTCGGGGGCAAATGAAACACGGCGATTTGCTGTCGCGGTCTGTCAGCTTAATGTTAGAATAGGAAAGCTGTATGACGAACCCATAGATTTCCGGCGCGCCTCTCTTCGCTCAAGGATCGTCTTGCGCTCGCGCTCCCGCTGTTCCTTCTCTTCTCGCTCTCTCACCGCGGCCATTTCATCCCGGATTGAAGCGGCGGTGAAGCTATCGAAAGGATTGGACGGGTCGTCACCCGCAGAGCCTGACGGTTGTGCCGGAGTATCGAAGTCTATTAACATGCCCTCTTTGCCCTGGTCGGGGGCTTCACCTGTGCCGTCATTGTGAGGTGGACCGCGAGCGGGAGTCCGTCTGCGTGTCTCCTCAAACGTAGGAATGTTGCGAACCGGGGAAACGGGAACTGTAGGTTTCAGGATAGATTTGAGGGGGAAGGCTGCAGTAGACTTGAGCGCGACAGGATTGACATTAGTATAAGCGACAGATAAGGACATCGGGGGCCAGAGTGCGGAGCTACCTTGCGTCGATTGCCATTTGAATCTTGGAGCGCATCTAGACCACCAGGTCCCAGACTCTTACTGCGCGACTTCTTATCCTTTGCCGAGAGCTTTGGACGCTCACCAATAGGTTGAGAAGAGCTGATATTTGTGGTGGCATTCTCCTTGTCCAAGGTAGAGGTCAACTGCGATCGAGGGACATGGGCGATAGAGCGACGAGATCGCGGGCGGGAAGACCCCGCGGAGTCACTTCGGGACGCCATGGGAGTCTATATTGAGGGGGACATGAAAGATGAAGAAGAGATTAATGAGGTAGATTGAAAAGCGTCACCCGCGATATCCAACTGACTAGTTAGGGGGATCAGTCCGGGGAATGACAACAATCAACGAGTTTACTCCCCTAAAGTTTCACCATAAACACTTAGATGGATTGGGCCTCGAGCTTCCCGCGCGTCACCCGGTCGGCGCTCATGTGACCGGGGGATGTAAACAAACCAAAACGGATAGCCCTAGCCGAGTCCCAAAACAGACTAGCGCCCCCATCGCACACTCACAGGCCGAATATCCGCCATCGTCGAATAAATCTTCTCCAACATCGACGTCGACCACCGCAGGCCCCGACACCCACCCTCCGCGACGAATTATACCACCCAGCTCGACTTCGCTTCCTCGTCGGACTGAATTCTCGCAACAATGGCGACCGAGTTGACCGTCCAGTCGGAACGTGCGTTCCAGAAGCAGCCTCACATCTTCGTCAACCCCAAGGCTCAGGCGAAGAGCAAGAAGGTTGGCACCGGCCGCCGTTGGTACAAGGATGTCGGTCTTGGTTTCCGTACCCCCAAGACCGCCATTGAGGGCTCCTACATCGGTATGCACGACCTATGTTGAAATTTTATTTTGCGGCGTTATCGACTTCCGATCATGCGGGACCGGGACTGGGAATCTTTCGGAGGCTATGGGGAGATGAGAATATGCCGCATGGAAAAGGGAGAAATCACCTGGGGAGCGCCAGCATGAGTCTACGATAAAATGCAACTACACCATGCAAAGGATCGGGATGAAATGCGACAAGAGAAGGAATCAGAGATCACACCTGGAAAGAGCGCTTGGCGACAGATTTGCGGAACCCGGTTATTCTCATCTCTCAATGGCTCCGGAGAAGTCCAGTCATGTTGTTCAAATCCCAGGTGGGACAAAATAACTGATATCGAACAGACAAGAAGTGCCCCTTCACCGGTCTGGTTTCCATCCGTGGCCGTATCCTGACCGGCCGTGTCGTCTCCACCAAGATGCACCGTACCATCGTCATCCGCCGTGAATACCTCCACTACGTCCCCAAGTACAACCGTTACGAGAAGAGACACAAGAACCTTGCCGCTCACGTCTCTCCCGCTTTCCGTGTTGAGGAAGGTGACTGGGTCACCGTCGGCCAGTGCCGTCCCCTCTCCAAGACTGTATGTCAAAACTTCCTCGAAATATCTTGTGCGGTCGCTGGTGGCAAATGCGTTTCTTTCCTATACGCCTGGAAAGAATACGGATAATGCCTAGTGCTGCTGAAGATATTCCATATGACTCGCACAACCGTCTGCAACGGATGCGCTAACATACTATTCAGGTCCGCTTCAACGTCCTCCGTGTCCTTCCCCGTACCGGTAAGGCCGTCAAGGCTTTCTCCAAGTTCTAAGCGTCTCGATGAGGAAGGGTGTGTTTTCGCGAGGACGAACCTAGGGCAGCGGCGTGACTGGATATAAACGGAATAGTTTCTCGGGTTGGGATTGTTTCACGATTTCATGTCCCAGGTACCCTTGTGGAAGGAATATCCAATGAAAAAATTACTTTGATTCTCCCACATAGACTTTTTATATCTGTACGAGATCTCAGAGCACTGAGGGAGAGTTCAGTATGCTAGTGTGAAATCTAGCCTTTCTAATCGAGTCACTGCCGCTTCCAGTTTGGGTCTTTTTTGTAGTAATGTTCCTTATCGCTTTCAAGGCGGGCACTTAGCGCCAATAGTCAGGGGTAGTATTCGTAGGTGCACTGACCTATTCTAACTAGCTAGTTAAAGCGACTACTAGATACATTTTAGTGGCCTTTCAGATATCTCCAGGTCATTACTCAAACACTACGGAGTACATCTCTCCCCTTGGTACTAACGTACACTATTCCTTCGACCAGACCTGCCGACACTTATCTTACAAGTTTCTCAATAATCGTGAGTACCGAACCACTAATAACATCAACGACGAGTCCGCAATACAGAGTATTGCATATTTGGGGCAGAAAGAAGAACGAGACTACTGAAGAAGCCAGCGTCTTCGACGTTCTCGATCTCTCGCAAACCGGATGTGGGGCAGAACATCCTCTGACAACTCACGGGACATGCTCAGAATTGAATATCTAGTCTCGATATCATGCATAATCTCGCTTTCGCCTTCCACGGATATACCCCTCATTTCCTGAGTATCATTGCTGGATGGTGGCTGCATATAAGATTGACAGTCGTCCTCTTCCATTTTCTGAGCGAGTCTCGCTTGTTCTTGGACCCATCTGCCGGTGTTCGGGTCGAAGATCTCGATGGTTGGGATGCGGGTCTGAGATATGTTCAAATTCAAGGATGACAGTACTTGAGTGTCTTCTTCAGGCCAATCGGTAATCAGCTCAGCTGATCGGTCAGGATCTTGTTCAGAAAATAGGTTGATCTGCCGTCCACTGGCTACTTCTTCATCATCTTCGTCTGTTATCAGTTCATCGTCTGTATTTCTCATGAAGAACCAGTCAGGAGTCAAAGGGGGTTTTCGGTCTGAGGCTAACTCGCGGCCCATGCAGGGTGAGCTGGCACCGATATCCTCAGATTCGCTACCACTCATATTCTCGTCTTCTGCAACAGACCCACACTCGGTGACTGAGTCGTCATCCGATATATCATGAACAATGGATTCTGGACGTCCGACTTCGCTGACACTGGTAGATGGTATAGAGCGATCGTAGCCAGCACATACTCCCTCATGAAAGGACTCCCAAGTTCCTTGCCTCTTCAGTCTCCAGGAGTGGAATAAGCCCTCACTCACCTCCCTGCTGAACTCGAATGAGAGATTAATAGAATTAAGAAATTTTCCTATTGCATATCCCGAAGTGCGGTCAAGTTTGCCGGCATCTCTAGCTAGCTCGCCATGCAACTGCTTTCTGTTGTATTTATGAGAAGCAAGTTTATCAAGCTGTAGGAATTGCCCAATCTCAACATGTTCATCTGCGAGCTGTTGTATCGTGCTTATTTTTACAGCACATATTATAGCAGCGGGTGGTATCTTTCCCCATACCAAGAACTCGCCCCTACCATCGTAGCCTCGGATACGCAGATTCTGTTCCCTGAAAAGCTTAATCGCGGGATATACATCGGTATCGAGCTTATGTGTGTCAATGATGGATATAATAGCGCCTTCTTTGTTCCAGAGTGCTCTGTGAACAGGCGATAACATTGAGCGAAACGTAGATATGAACGGTGATGGCGTTTTGTCGATGTGAACATGTCTAGAGAAGTAGTTGATAAACTCTTCTTTGGATATATCTCCAGGTGTGAAGAATTGGCGTCCATCTGCGAAAAGCCCGGCCAGGAATAGCATTTTGGAATTGACGCCTTGACTGTCGACATTAGACCATCTGTATATGACAGGGGGCACTTCATCAGTCCAACGTGAACGAGATACCACAGGATTCGGTTCTTCCTGGGCTTCCTGCTGAATGTGGTATTAGTTTATATGTTACTCGGGTATCACTTAGGTCTCACATTAAAAATTCGCTCTTGTACACACCAAAAGCATACTTTGTCGCCGCCACTGCATAAGCTCGTATCGATCTGAGTTATATCAACGATTTCTGGTACTGGGGCTTGTTCCTGCACTTCAGTAATACCAACATCTCTTCTCTCAGGATGCTGTATCATAGACGTGTGCTGAGAAGTTATCCCTGGCGTGTTGACTGGTGGTGTCAGGCTCTGCTGATGACTGCAAGTTTCCTCGTTGTCGTCGACATAATTCGGGACTATATTTAAGCCTAGTGACCTTGCAGTCCTTCTGATCCGTCTTAATGTTGGGATCCAGCGCCAATGTCCCTCGGATGTATGCTGCTGAACTTCTTTCCACTCCGGGTACGAATATCTCACCATTTCACCCCACTGCGTGCGTAGAGTACTTGATGGGATGCCCTCAGTAAACCCGCATTCTGTCACCTCCGATTCAAACACTCGATTGAATATGTCTCTGAAGGTGCTCGTGTCTCTCTGAAAGAACTCATAGAGACAGCAGAGGAACAGTCTCTGTTCCCGTGTCCATTTGTTTTGGAGTCGTGGAGTCCTATAGTCAAGACCAATCTCGGGCTCCATCGCGACAATCGAGTCTTACATGAAAGTGTAGTGAGACAAGATAGTATGAGATAGTCTCGAGATTAGGCTTCAGCAAAAGAATAGTGGGCAACACAAGTGGAGTGAGCGAGCGATATTGGAAGCTTGTTTTCAGCAAGAATTTGTGGGTGAAGAATAAGCGAGGAAGCCATAATAGCTTGATCACTGATTTCTATCATAGCTGCAAGTTTGTAAAGAGTACATACTTCTGTGGGGCCTTGAAATAGGGAGCGAAAGAGGCGTATGCCTCCTTTCTAAACAGTGGAGGTGGGCTAGCTAGTCTTCATATCGACTACTTAGTATTGAAACTAATCGATTTAGATGTGGCCACTGAAACCTGTATTTGTAAGATGAATTTCTCTCAGTATAAATCAGTCCAGGTCATTTTCATGGTCTCATCAACAATTAAAAGTTGAATTTGACACTATGATATTTTCTTTTGGGGGGTGATAATGAGGTTACTGGTAGTAGTAATGAAGGTATTCCAGAGATATATATTATCGATCACGTGAGGACAGATCGTAGACCTACAATTGTAGTGACTCAGTAGAATTGCACTTGATGGAAGGCTCAACTTATGGTTTATGTCAACTCAAAAGTGAGGCAGTCAAATTATAATATTACTATGAAGTGACGCTTCACTCTACCCTCATCTCTTTCTTGTACCACAGTGGCAGAGATCATCCTCAACAGCGTGGTACATATAGTTCGTCGGATAACATCATCGCGCCGACCCAAACAGCACTAGGCGGTTTCTAGCCTAGTTGGGTGCAACCGGGCGCTCCACTGCGATGCCGCTTTGAAGTCCAACATCCCGAACTGCCTGAAGCTCTCTCTCTCCCCGACTTGTTCTCATAAATCTTCCCCTCCTGTTCCCTTGACCGCTTCAATCTTCGACCCCCCCACCACCCTTTTGCTGGGGGATTATCTGGCAGATCATCCCTGTCATACCGAAAGTCCCGATCCCCCTCCCTAGGAGTCGGCACTTCACCCCCGTCCCACTTCACTATTGACAGCTTGCGTAAGAATCACCAGTTCCGCGACATGGCAACTTGACGCATCATGATTATTTTTGGAATTGGCGTGGGCAAAGCATTCAGAACACGACTATAGTTTTGGTACCTCCTCATCTAAGATCGATCTGGTTATCGTTCCACCCCGAAAACCCCCCTCCACCTCGAATCCAGCTGCCTGCCAGATTCCCCTGATTTCTGTTTCCGACCAATTGCTGTGACGGAGGACAGCCATCTTTGAACATGTCTCACAACTTTGAGAAGTCGGTGAAGGGAGCCACCAAGATAAAGGTTGGTAGGAGGTTCCGTGTATTTTCAGGAGATGCGTGATCTTGCGCAAGTGCTGACAATCTGGTCCTCATCAACAGCTTGCGGCCCCCAAATCGAAATACATTGAACATATACTTGTTGCGACTCATACAGGCGAGGCAGGTGTTGCAGAGATATTTCGGACGCTGCAGCTCCGACTTCGCGACTCAACATGGACCATTGTTTTCAAAGCTCTTATTGTTGTCCACTTGATGATAAGGGAGGGACAATTGGATGCTACATTGCAGTATATGGCAGAGAACCCCAGAAGACTTGCCATCAGTGGATTCTCAGAAGGTGAGGAATGGTGTCAGAATCTGCGCGGGAGATTACTGACATGTTGATGTCACAGTACAGTCGCAAGGCCATAATATTCGAAGATACTCCGATTATCTCATCGCGCGTGCGCGTGCCTTCGAGGATACAAAGACCGACTATGTGCGAAGCGGACAAGGTCGGATGAAGAGATTGACAGTAGAAAAAGGACTTCTGAGGGAGACAGAAATAGTTCAACATCAGATCCATGCACTGCTCAAATGTGACGTGGGTCATCTCCTTCCCTTGCATCATGACATCTTCAACTGACATGTTTTAGCTTCTCACTGACGACGTCGAGAACGAAATATCGTTGACCGCATTTCGCTTGCTGGTTTTGGATCTCTTGACCCTGTATTCTGTGATGAACGAAGGAACAATAAACGTTCTTGGTAGGTGCTCTGCTTAGCAAACCCGTGGCATGCTCTGACTGAACTGCGCACAGAGCATTACTTTGAAATGTCGCGACCCGACAGCGAACGTGCGTTGGAAATATACAAGACCTTTACGGTCCAAACGGAAGAGGTCGTGAAGTTCCTGGGAGTTGCCAGGCATTTCCAGTCTGCGACGCGATTGGAGATCCCTAAGCTCAAACATGCTTCTACGGATCTAACGCGGCTTCTGGAGGACGATCTCAATGACCCGGATTTCAACCTTCGCCGGCGAGAATATTTGGCACGGAAGCAAGGGAAGAGCGGCGGAACTCCTCCGCCTGTGAGTAAAACTGCGACAGGCGATAGGGCCGTGAGCAACGCGAACACTATGCCGGCACGGCCTCAAACCCAGCCGAATCCACAGACACAGAAGTCAAACCAATCGGACCTTATCGACTTCTTTGATTCAATCGAGCAGAACCAACAGCCGATGGCCCAGACCAATCCGTTCCAGCAAGCGCAATTACAGCAGCAATCGCAGGCGATGCAGTTCCAGCAAACCGGGTTCCCACCGCAGCAACAGGCCTTCTATGCGCAACAGACAGGCTTCCAGCAACCCCAACCGACTGGGTTTGACCAACAAGCGGCGTTTGGAAACCAGTTTGCGCCGCAGAATATTCAGCAATTTGGCCAGCCGCAGCAGCAGCAGCAGGCACCCCAACCTCTTCAACCCAACCACACGGGGGCTGGATTTGGTGGTTATTCGGCGCAGCCCCAGACATACGGTTTCCAGTCAAACCTCGCTCCCATCCCACAACATGACATGAGTGCATTCTCCCAGCAGCAACAAATGCCAATGGCCCAGCAGCAGTTGCAGCCACAGTCAACCAACCCCTTCAGACAATCGATGTTAATGAGCACGCCGACCGGATCGGCCACGCCTGCCACCCCCCTTAACCGTCAAAATACGAACCCCTTCGCTCGACGTTTATCAACAGTCAACCCGCAGCTTGATACCAGTGTTCCTCAAGCCTACCCGCAGGCGCAGCCGCAAGCGCCCCAACAGCCAGCGCCACTTCAAGCCCAGCGGACGGGAACTAATCCGTTTGCCCGTGCGTCCTCTGTTCCCCCACCGCAGTCCCAGGGCCTGCAACCTCCTGCGGCTCCTCTGCGACCAAACCCTACGGGGAGCACGAATCCTTTCCGTCAGAGCGCCTTTGTGAACCAACAGACTGGCCAAGGGTGGCATGTCGGCGGGCAACAGGGCACAATGGGAGGCTTGGAGCAACTAGACACGGTGCCCATATTCCCGCGACCGGGGCTATCATAACGGTGCTTACAAAACATATTGATCTCTACAACACCACCGAAAACAAAATAGTGTGTTAGAACATAACTATTCCTCCTTTCCCTTTAATACTCCTTTATTGACTTGCATTGGGTTTCTTGATTGAGTGTTTTGAAAGCATAATGGCGGGGCTCGCAGTGCGGGCCCGACCGTTGACCATGTAGCGATAGCAGAGGTTCAGTGATAAGAGAATATAACAAAGGATTGCAGCAACCTGAAACAATTGCCCGTTTGTATCGATGATAAGCAACAGTTGACCAGTAAGATGAGCGTAGTACTTGGGATCTACCTGCATGAGTGCCGGCCATCAGCAAGGGGAGATCGACATCCTGACCCTTGTGAAACTCCTCCTAGTTTACCCCGGCAAGCGATTGCCCGATTGACCTCCTGTGTAAGTAATCTTCCCACAGTATGAAGTCTTATCAATCACTGCTATAGATCAGCTATGTAGTCCCAGTCTACGGAATATTTAATATGTAGTTAACGACAAGAGCACATGGCTACAATGGCTCCTCTGGATGCATTTCCCGCTATGATTGATACCCAGTCAGTCACTTCAGCCACTACTGACCGCCAAGATGGTAGCTGTGGCTATGAGATATCCTTGTATAGTACAGCAGTTCGGGTCCATCACTGATGTTATTGCTGCCAAGTGGTCAATGTGGAGAGAGCTATAAGCGAGGCCTTCGTAGAAGATATGCTACCACTTGTGCTCTCAAGCCCTGGATAACTAGATACATAATATCACGAGAAACTGTTCTATTGCAGAAGTAACGAGACTTGCTCCTTTGTCACTTATGATTTCTCCTAGATGCTCACATCTCCCTTCCTGCTCTTTCAAATCCGTCAAAGTTGGTCATATCAGGTTACTACTACCAACTCTAACGATCCAACATTTAGACTTAGGCTCACGCCTTCTTGAGTCTGGTGTAGTGTACCCAACATGTCCACTGCCTGGCTGCTAAAGAAGCTCGGAAGCCGTCTAAACTACGACTTGAAGACAAGTTCCTGGGCTAATAACACTATTCAGTAGTAGAACAGCAAGCCAATAATATCGAATGGGGCACTGAATAGTACTACGTACGTACGCTCCCGATGTTTCGTATATAGAGAGATTACGATTGGTCCAGAGTAATAACTCCCGGTGAAAAAAAAAATGTCGAAGAAAAAATGCACTCCCCTTAGCCAGCAGTCCTAAGAGAAGACAGAGGACTACTTGCTAAGAGAGGGAAGACAGAGGTGTTAGTAGCAGGGAACTGAATCCGTTGCTACAAAGCTGCAGCTGCTGGATCCAGACTCCTCGGCTTCTTCTGCCTTCTCATGCGAACCGAGTTTTCAGAGTCGAGGTATCGGATATTGCTCCCGAGCCAATGAACTTGATTCCTATCTGTTGAGACAGTGAAGCCAATATCTGGGCATTAATAATATGATTGATTCAGTTTCAAACCGATCTTCCTCGGCTATTAGTAGTCTAATATGGAGTACGTACTATGTTTAGTGTTCTGTTCACTACTTAGTCATTTAATAGCTCTTGTACCTCAGAAAACATATAACGCAGTAACTTGGTCTCGACCATAAAGCCTAATACCCAACACACAACTCGCACTATATACTAAGTAGCAG